GCACCCTCACAACGTTTATAAATTGGTACCATTTAATTACGCGCTATTTTCGGTGTTGGATAAAAATGATTTTAATTTGAAATTTAACACTAATTTCCTTCATTTGAAAAAATAAAATTTTGCTAAAATTTTTATTTAGAAATATTGAGAAAATCTTTAAGTTAAAGAATTATCTTAAAATTTTTCAACATCTAAGCAGAATTTAAAATAACTCTTGCCGCTTAAGATTTAACACAATAATCCTTAAAATGAAATAATAATCTCTATAAAAAATAATTGTTAGTGACTCTCCAACATCTAGGTAGAGTACCAAGAATTATTTCTTTCGGAATGTTATTTTTATTTTATTTTATAATATCATAAAATTTTTTAAAAGTATTATTTTTTTTATTATAAAATATTTTATCACCAAGTAGTAAATAAAAATTAAAGACAGAATAGTGCAAATAATTACCGATAATAACATGCTAACATATGTATGCAAATGAATGTTATCTAGGATGAGATGCAATTTAAAAGTTGGATTCTTAAGTATAATGAGGCCACCCCGACTCTTCAACCTCTAGGCAAAGCTTAGGTACAACTGTTTATATTTAAGATCTCAATTTACTGTTATATTTTTTATTTATTAATCTTATTATTAATGCGAATTAAGAAATCATGTGAAAAGACTTAACGAAGTAAAATTTCTAAATACCCCATAATCTAGGCGGCATTCGGGAACAAATTACTTCAAATAGAATTTTCACGCATGTCCTTAGGATTTTTAGGATTTTGGATTTTAAAGGGTTTGAGTAGAGGTTTTGAAGGTTTTGTTTTAAGGTTTAGAGGGTTTTAAAGCTTGAATTTTAGGATATGAAAGGTTTAGGGTTTTGATTTTAGAGTTTGGAGATTTTAGGGTTTGGGTTTTAAGGTTTAGGGTTTTGATTTAAGGGTTTGAATTTTAGGGATTTTGGATTTTGGGGTTTGGATTTAAGAGTTTAAGATTTGGGATTTCGAATTTTTGGGGATTTTGAATTTTAGGGGGTTTCAAATTTTAGAGGGTTTGAATTTAAAGGATTTTGGATTTTTAGGAGTTTGGATTTTAGGAGATTTTGGATTTTAAGGGTTTTAGAAACTTAGGATTTTGAAAATTAAAAAATAGTGTTTAAGGTTTCGTTTTTTAAAAAATACGAATATCTCTAAAAATCTCCGACCTCTAGGTAGATTTTCGAAGTAAGTTCGATTTTAGTGATTTTTGAAAATTAATTTAAAAATTTTTTATATTTATTTTTTATGAAAATTTATTAATAATAATTTCTCAACATCTAGGCGAAATTATTTTTTTAGAAAAATATTTTTTATTCCCTCCAACATCTAGGCAGGAAAAATAATAAAAATAATAAATATTTTTATTTGAACATTTTAAATATATTTTTAATTATTATTTGTTTTCAATTTTATTATTATTTAAACAATTAAACATTTATTCCACCAAATTTAAGAATTTATCATGCATCAATAAATAAAACAAACTTAAAATAACAAAAATAATAATATAAAAAATTAAATTTTTTTTTTATTTTTACCTGAATCGGACCGATCAACGGTCTGATCAACGCTGGTCTAGACCGGTTGGACCGGTTCGGTGGTTCAAGCTGCGATTCGGGCAATCTAGTGGTTCAGACCGGTTCACTGACGATTCGTTTGGATCGGTTCAAAGTTGGCTGAAATAGGTCGGTAGGTCGGGTTACGCGGATCTCAGGTCGGGTTCGGGTCAACGCGCGGATCCTCTATGCTTGAAACGGCGTCATTTTGGTCCTATACTCAAAACGACGTCGTTTTGCCCTTATGTTTTTTATATATAACTGAAAATTTTTTTTTGTTCATTCTTTGGTTTTTCAAAAAAAAAAGAGGGGGAAAGAGGGAGAGCTCGTCGTCCGATCACCGGATCACCGCACTGGCCGCCTCCTGGGTGGCCGCCGACGATTGTCGTTGGCGGTTGAAAACACAAAAAAACTTCTAGAAGCTTCTTTCAACGAGATCTTTTCAGATTCGATATTCGTTTTACCAGAAACAACCCCGATCGACGTAGATCGAGGCTTGAAGCTTGCAGTTTCTTTTCTTTTTTTTTTATTTGACTTTTTATTTTTGATTTATTTTGCAGGGCTTGCTCGGCGCTGATGGTTCCTCACCATAGGTGAGGACTGTGTTTTTTTTTTTTTGTTTTTGTTTGTGTGTTTCTGTTGGGATAGAGGTTTCTGATGGGTGAGGGGTTGATTGGTGTTAGGATTTTTTTGGTGTGTCTGGTGTCCGAGAGGGTGTTGTGGGTAGTGTATTTGGAGGTAAAGAACTATCTGAAAGATTTCGAGATAGGATGTCCGAGAGCTTTCAGAAAAAGGGGGGTCTGAGAGTTTTTTTTTTTTTTAGAGGGGGTCCGAGAGAGATGAAGGGGAGAGGGGCTGGGTATTTTAAAGAACTCCAAGGTGGCAATAGGGTGGCTGTAGGTGGTTATAGGCCGATGAACGTGGGTAAACAGGAGGCTGGTCAGAGGGCTTTAGGGTGATTGGTCGGGGGCGGCAGCAGCGCCAACCACCCTACTTTCTATTTTTCTGTTTTTTTTATTTTTTGTTTATTAATAATTATTTTATTTTATTTTTTATTAAATTATTATTATTATTATTATTATTATTATTATTAATATTATAGTGAAATGAAAACAGTAGACCCGGACAAAATCAGTGTCTACAAAACCATATGAACATTTTAATAATTTCAATAAGATTAGTAATTTAATACGTAGTTAATTTTGTATTATGTTAAAATTTAATATATATAATTTAATAAGAGTAATATAACAATTTTCAAATAAAATTCTACAGTTAAAATTTCTATGAAATAATGATAAAGGTATTTTAGTAATTTAATATATGTTTAACTTTATATTATTATATTAAAATTTAATACGAAAATTAAACAAGGTATTATAATAATTTTTAAATAAAATAATATATGTCAATTTCTTATAACGCAATCATAAGAATATTATTGTAATTATAGTATGAAGTATTATGTTATTTTAACAAATTTTGATAGAAGAACATTTTCATAATTACGATAAGAGGATATTATAGTAATTTTTATCATGATGGTAGGGACATTTTTATAATTATAATAGAAAAGATATTATAATAATTTTAACCAATTATAAAATAAGAGGTATTTTCATAATTATAATATAAGAGTAATCATAATATTTTTATTACATCCAAATAAAATTTTATTTTTCATTCATGTCCAAATATCTTTTATTTCAAATAAAATGTTAATTTATGTTAAGATTTTATTTAGATACAATTATAGTATTTATTTGAATACAAATTAAAATTTAAAAGTTTATTTAGATGCAAAGTTAAATTTAAGAATTTATTTTGATACAATAAAAATATAGAAATTTATCTAAATAAAATGATACAACTCAAAAACTTTTTATTATTTTAACAAAAAGTATATGTAGAATTATATATATATATAAATATCCGATAAGGAATTTATCTTGGAAGTGGCATATGTAGAATTATATATATAAATATATTTATGTAGTCTGACAAGGAATTTATCTTGGAAGTGGTTATACCCAAACTTTTTTTCTGACAAAATTAATAAAGTTTTTTTAAAAGCGTGTTAGATATGTAAAATTATTAATAAAATAATATATTTATCATTTTATTTATATTTGATATACACATAAGTGAGAGAATTAAATTAAAAAAATATTAATCATTATTTTTTTAACATAAGATAATTTAATCTTCTTAAAAAAACACAATTATTTCTAATTGAATATATAATAAATGCTGATAAGTTATTTACTTTATTTTTAAAACTTATATTTAATATTCGACTTAAACATTTAATAAACTAATAATTATCATTATTTAATTGGTTAACTTAAACATTTTTTCCATTTTCCCCCTTTTTTTCCTTTTTTCCTTTTTCTCTATTTTATTTTTCCCCATTTTTTCTCGTTATTTTTTTCCCTTTTACTCTTTTTCTTTTCTTAATAAAAAAATAAAAAATACCTCTCTCATCTCAAGTACAAAGGAAGAATTCCTAACTCTCTCTCTAATTTTTTTTTTTCAAGCAGTGATGCAAGTGTTAAAACGTAAATGTCGAAAACGTTTTCAACTTTTGTCCTTGATTGATCTCTAATCTGTTATGATTTTAAATTTTTATCGATCATCCAGGTTGAGCTCAGTACTAACAATTCAAATCTAACAAAAATAATAATTTAATTGATAATAAAAATAAAAATTATTAAATTAACAAAAATTTAAGCCTACATAAACTCGATGTAAACGCAATATACCCCCGCGGACCCATCCAGTGAAAACGTTGCTAAAGTCGACCTGAGCTGGTTTTAAAATCTGAATCAGCTTCATTAACTTGAAATCTCAAGTAAAATCTTTTTAAAAATTCGAATAATTTGCAAAAATCTCAATTCAACTTCAAATAATTTGTTTTCTGACCAATTTCAGAACATTGTCCTAAACATAATGGCAAAAGGATCAATCAAATGAAAAGAATGTTTTACTGACTAAAGTTCAGCCTGAACTAAGACCAATATTTATATGTTATTAAAAGGCTGTCATTCTTATTTTTTAATTCTTTCTTTCTTTCAAAGTTTCAACCAAGTGGAAAGAAATAACAAAAACATTAGTATTAATTAAGTAGAAGACATTGATTGAATCTTTGATTTAATATCTTTAATCGGGAAAGAAACCAAATGAAAAGAAACATCACAAGTTGCTGTCAAACAAGGGATCACTTAAGATTGTTTGATATTAACAAATATATATATATATATATATATATAACACTAGCAATTGCTATTATTACAAGATAATCTCTTTTGATACGATTTAATTTAATTATTTCACATTTTTTTAGCCCAGCCACCAAAGACATAGATGCTATAAGTAAGGTAACCGTAACACATTACCATGTTCACAAACAACTCAAGAAATGAAGTCCCCTCACTTTTCCTTGCTCCCATTTCTTTTAGTTGTTCTCTTTTCATTGTCTGCAACAACTCTAGCTCATTCTCACGAGGATTTCCTTCATTGCCTTTCTCTTCGTTCAGCAAAATCTGATTCCATTTCAAGGGTCATTTACACGCAAAATAATTCCTCATATTCATCTATTTTGGAAGCTTCCATTCAAAATCATAGGTTCTCCACACCAGCTACACCTAAACCCTCTGTCATTGTAACACCACTGCAAATATCCCATATCCAAGCAACAATTTATTGTTCAAAAAAGAATGGGCTCCAAATTAGAATTCGAAGTGGTGGCCATGACTTTGAGGGTCTTTCTTATGTTTCTGAAGTTCCGTTTGTCATCCTTGATTTGCTTAATTTTCGAGCAGTTGAGGTTGACACAAAAAATAAAGTTGCGTGGGTTGAATCTGGCGCAACTATAGGTGAATTATATTACAGAATTGCTGAAAAAAGTAAAACTCTTGCCTTCCCAGCTGGTGTTTGCCACACTGTAGGTGTTGGAGGGCATTTTAGTGGGGGTGGTTATGGCATATTGGTGAGGAAATATGGTCTTGCCGCTGATCATGTAATTGATGCCCACTTAATTGATGTCAAGGGAAGAATTATTGACCGGAAATCCATGGGTGAGGATTTATTTTGGGCCATTCGAGGAGGCGGAGGAAATACCTTCGGAATTGTTCTTGCTTGGAAAGTAAAGTTAGTCTCCATTCCAGCAGTTGTGACTGTTTTCACAGTCAACAGGGACTTGGAACAAAATGCAACCAAAATTGTTCATCGTTGGCAATACATTGGACACAAGCTTCCTGATGATATTTTTACCGATGTCACAATAACAAAGGTGAATTCCAGTCAAGAAGGGAAGAAAACAATTCAAGCTGCTTTCAAAGCCTTGTTTCTTGGTGGGGTTGATAAGCTAATTCCGTTGATACAAGACAGGTTTCCTGAGCTCGGATTGGTAAAAGAAAACTGCATCGAAATGAGTTGGGTTGAGTCTATTCTCTACTTTGGTGGAGTTTCAACAAAAAGTTTGGATATTTTGCTTGATAGGAATGCTCTTCCAAAACAAATTTTCAAAGCAAAATCTGACTACTTGAAGGAACCTATTCCTGAAAGCGGATTTGAGGGGATTTGGCCAAAGTTTTTTGAGAAAGAGGCGGAAGTTTCGCTTATGATGATGGAAGCTTTTGGTGGTAAAATGGATGCAATTCCAGAAACTGAACTTCCATACCCGCATAGAGCTGGCAACTTGTACCAAGCCTCATACCTTGTGGGATGGTCCAAAGAAGAAAATGCAGAATCTCAAAAATACGTTAGCTGGATCCGTAGACTTTACAGTTACATGGCCACTTACGTCTCAAAATCACCGCGAGAAGCATATTATAATTACAGGGATCTAGATATTGGAACTAATAACAATGGCTACACAAGTTATGCACAAGCCAGCATTTGGGGTCGTAAATATTTTAAAAATAACTTCAACAGATTGGTACATGTAAAGACCATGGTTGATCCTGAGAATTTCTTCAAGAATGAACAAAGTATCCCTCCTATTTCACCTTCGCAGAAGAAGAAAGGTCACTAGAGTTGAGGAGTTCATATTTTTGTTAAACATATGAATAAAAGTTTCGATCATGATGGATTTAGTGTCAGTTCTAATAGATAATAACCTTACATTTGTTTTACAATAACTTTGATGTAGTTTTTGTTCATCATAATTTTGACTTAAACTTTGATCACTGTAACAAACAGCCTTAAAGTGGGTTGCATGGAAAGCAGGGGGTACAAGACCCCTGCATAATCGGCAAACAAATGAAGTTTTATATATTCAGGCTACAGGCTTTGATGCTTTTGATATTTTGAATTTCCTCTTGTTGGGATTTGTCTTGAATCTCATAATTTCACATTGAAAATTATAAAAGTTTTAAGTTTATCTTATATGCCACATCGAGAGTTTAATAAAGGTATAAGAGATTTTATCTTTATTAATATGATGCTTTGGTTTTAGTTTGGTAATCCCAGATAATTAGACACTAATAGAATAATTAGGTGAATAGGTTATTGAAATTGTGTAATTGAGTTTTAAGGTTAAATTTTGAGTAAAGAGTTTTTAGAGATTTTTCTCATAATTATGATGAAAAGGTATTATGATAATTTTGATTGATTATAGTATTAGAAGTATTTTTGTAATTATGATAGGAAGAGTATTATAGTAATTTTGAAAAATTATAGTAAGAGAGGTATCTTCATAATTATGGTAGTAAAGCCATCATAATAATCTCACCAAATTATGCTAATAGGGGTATTATCATAATTTTAACTAATTTATGATAAGAGAGACATTTTTGTAATTATAATGAAAGAATATTATAATCATTCAGGACACATGTCAATTTTTAATCAAAGAATCATATGAGCATTTTAATAATTTCAATAAGATTAGTAATTTAATACGTAGCTAATTTTATATTATGTTAAAATTTAATATATGTAATTTAATAAGAGTATTATAACAATTTTCAAATAAAATTCTACACTTAAAATTTTTATGAAATAATTATAAAGATATTTTATTAATTTAATATATGTTTAACTTTATATTATTATGTTAAAATTTAATGTGTAAATTAAATGGGATATTATAGTAATTTTTAAATAAAATAATATATGCCAACTTCTTATAAAGCAATCATAAGAACATTATTGTAATTATAGTATGGAATATTATAGTTATTTTAACAAATTTTGATAAAAAAACATTTTCATAATTATGATAGAAGGATATTATAGTAATTTTTATTAATTATGGTAGTAGGGACATTTTTATAATTATAATAGAAAAGATAGTATAGTAATTTTAACTAATTATAAAATAAGAGGTATTTTCATAATTATAATATGAGAGTAATCATAATATTTTTATTATATGCAAATAAAATTTTATTTTTTATTCGTGTCCAAATATACTTTTATTTCAAATTAAATGTTAATTTATGTTGAGAGTTTATTTAGATACAATTACAAGATAAGTGTTTATTTGAATATAAATTAAAGTTTAAAAGTTTATTTAGATGCAAAGTAAAAATTAAAAATTTATTTTGATACAATAAAAATATAAAAATTTATCTAAATAAAATGATACAACTCAAAAACTTTTTATTATTTTAACAAAAAGTATATGTAAAATTATATATATATATATATATAAATATCCGATAAGGAATTTATCTTGGAAGTGGCATATGTAGAATTATATATATAAATATATTTATGTAGTCTGACAAGGAATTTATCTTGGAAGTGGTTATTCCCAAACTTATTTTTCTGACAAAATTAATAAAATTCTTTAAAAGCTTATTTGATAATAAGATATTTATCATTTTATTTTATATTTGATGTACATATAAGTGAGAGGATTAGATTACAAAAAAAAATATTAATTATTATTCTCTTAGTATAAAATAATTTAATCTTCTTAAAAAAACACAATTATTTCTAATTGAATATATAAGAAATGCTGACAAGCTATCTACTTTACTTTTAAAACTTATATTTAATATTTGACTTAAACATTTAATAAACTAATAATCATCATTATTTAATTGGTTAACTTAAACATTTTTTCCATTTTCCCCCTTTTTTTTTCCTTTTTTCCTTTTTCTCTATTTTATTTTTTTATTTTTCCCCATTTTTTCTCTTTATTTTTTTCCCTTTTACTCTTTTTCTTTTCTTAATAAAAAAATAAAAAATACCTCTCTCATCTCAAGTACAAAGGAAGAATTCCTAACTCTCTCTCTAATTTTTTTTTTTCAAGCAGTGATTCAAGTGTTAGAACGTAAATGTCAAAAACATTTTCAACTTTTGTCCTTGATTGATCTTTAATCTGTTATGATTTTAAATTTTTATCGATCATCCAGGTTGAGCTCAGCACTAACAATTCAAATCTAACAAAAATAATAATTTAATTGATAATAAAAATAAAATTTATTAAATTAACAAAAATTTAAGCCTATATAAACCCGATGTAAATGCAGTATACCCCCGAGGACCCATCCAGTGAAAACCTGTCTAAAATCGACCGGACCTGGTTTTAAAATTTTATTTGATTGTATACTATCCCAAAAAGTCAAATGCCCTATTACATTTAAAATCTGAATCAGCCTCGTTAACTTGAAATCTCAAGTAAAATCTTTTTAAAAATCAGAATAGTTTGCACAAATCTCAATTCAACTTCCAATAATTTGTTTGCTAGCCAATTTCAGAACATTGTCGTAAACATAATGGCAAAAGGATCAATCAAATGAAAAGAAAGTATTACTAATTAAAGTTTAGTTTGAACTAAGCCCAATATTTATATGATATTAAAAGGTTGTCATTCTTATTTTGTAATTCTTTCTTTCTTTCAAAATTTCAACCAAGTGGAAAGAAATAACAAAAACATTAAGTAGAAGAGATTGATTGAATCTTTGATTTAACATCTTTAATCGGGAAATAAGCCAAATGAAAAGAAACATCACAAGATGCTGTCAAACAAGGGATCACTTAAGATTGTTTGATATTGACAAATATATATATATATATATATTGTTTGATATTGACAAATATATATATATATATATATAACTAGCAATTGCTATTATTACAAGATAATTTCTTTTGATATGATTTAATTTAATTGATTTATATAATTATTTTTAAAAAATAATATTTAATAATTTTAAAATTTAATATTTATAATTTTTTTTAAGTTATAACTTTTTGTATAAAAAAATTCTTACTTAAATAGTATAGTGGTATTTTCTCAAAAGAAATTTTTTTAATGGATGAAATTCGGAAATTACATCAGCTTTGATCTCAAAAATCTCTCAAAAGTTTAAACTTGAATTTGCTCTATATTTTATTTGATAATGCTATTAAAATTGAGTTGAATACTTCTAGCGGCCATTAAGACATTTCAATCGACAAGCCAGCCAATCAACTCAGTTGGCAGGCACTGAAGATTTAAATATTTTTATTTTCATTTAAAAAATATTTTAATCAACGATTTGGTGGAGGCACGTGCAGAAGATTTAAATATTTTTATCTTCATTTCTAACATATATTAATCAACGATTTGATGTGGGATAAATCTACAAAGGATGATATTATGCAATTAAAAACGAATAAAACAGCATAGTTGGAGAAGATAATGTAAGCAAATTACTGATTTTAGAGTTTAGACCTCAGGTTTCACGTTTTTTGAACGCCAGCCACCAAAGACATAGATGCTATAAGGTAACTGTAACACATTACATAAACTCGATGTAAACGCAGTATACCCCCGCAGACCCATCCAGTGAAAACCTAGCTAAAGTCGACCTGAGCTGGTTTTTAAATCTGAATCAGCTTCATTAACTTGAAATCTCAAGTAAAATCTTTTTAAAAATTCGAATAATTTGCAAAAATCTCAATTCAACTTCAAATAATTTGTTTTCTGACCAATTTCAGAACATTGTCCTAAACATAATGGCAAAAGGATCAATCAAATGAAAAGAATGTATTACTGACTAAAGTTCAGCCTGAACTAAGACCAATATTTATATGTTATTAAAAGGCTGTCATTCTTATTTTTTAATTCTTTCTTTCTTTCAAAGTTTCAACCAAGTGGAAAGAAACAACAAAAACATTAGTGTTAATTAAGTAGAAGAGATTGATTGAATCTTTGATTTAATATCTTTAATCGGGAAAGAAGCCAAATGAAAAGAAACATCACAAGTTGCTGTCAAACAAGGGATCACTTAAGATTGTTTGATATTAACAAATATATATATATATATATATATATATATATAACACTAGCAATTGCTATTATCACAAGATAATCTCTTTTGATACGATTTAATTTAATTATTTCACATTTTTTGAGCCCAGCCACCAAAGACATAGATGCCATAAGTAAGGTAACCGTAACACATTACTATGTTCACAACCAACCCAAGAAATGAAGTCACCTCACTTTTCCTTGCTTCCATTTCTTTTAGTTGTTCTCTTTTCGTTGTCTGGGACAACTCTAGCTCATTCTCATGAGGATTTCCTTCATTGCCTTTCTCTTCGTTCAGCAAAATCTGATTCCATTTCAAGGGTTATTTACACGCAAAATAATTCCTCATATTCTTCTATTTTGGATGCTTCTATTCAAAATTATAGGTTCGCCACACCAGCTACACCTAAACCCTCTGTCATTGTAACACCACGGCAAACATCCCATATCCAAGCAACAATTTATTGTTCAAAAAAGTATGGGCTCCAAATTAGAATTCGAAGTGGTGGCCATGACGTTGAGGGTCTTTCTTATGTTTCTGAAGTTCCGTTTGTCATCCTTGATTTGCTTAATTTTCGAGCAGTTGAGGTTGACACAAAAAACAAAGTTGCGTGGGTTGAATCTGGTGCAACTATAGGTGAATTATATTACAGAATTGCTGAAAAAAGTAAAACTCTTGCCTTCCCAGCTGGTGTTTGCCACACTGTAGGTGTTGGTGGGCATTTTAGTGGGGGTGGTTATGGCATGTTGATGAGGAAATATGGTCTTGCTGCTGATCATGTAATTGATGCACACTTAATTGATGTCAATGGAAGAATTATTGACCGAAAATCCATGGGTGAGGATTTATTTTGGGCCATTCGAGGAGGTGGAGGAAATACCTTCGGAATTGTTCTTGCTTGGAAAGTAAAGTTAGTCTCCATTCCAGCAGTTGTGACTGTTTTCACAGTCAACAGGGACTTGGAACAAAATGCAACCAAAATTGTTCATCGTTGGCAATACATTGCACACAAGCTTCCTGATGA